CTTGCATATTACATGCAACTCTATTTTAATGGAAATAAATGATCGATTAATTGAATAAAATATAAATAATAAAATTAAAACTAAATACGTTACCTGGTAAAAGTAAGGATTGGGCGCAGATTCGCCTACTCCATTGAAGTCCATTACATTGATCAATTGATAATCAAAAACAAGACCTGCATTAGCCTTCTGGAATTGGTCCTGTAGCTGTACATGAGGTAGATTACCAAGCTTCTTGTAGCGCCAACTGTACAACGCACACAAACTGTAATAAAAACAAAATATCAAACACAATTTCCAATGCTTGCTTTCCAATTCTGCCGTACTGTAGGCTCACCAAGAAATGGTTAAAACATCCTAAATTTACCTGGGCCTAGCTCTACCCTGGGCATCAAGGTCTACTGTAGGAACACCAAGGCGGACAAGTCTGGTGAACAGTGACTGCTCCATGTTAGAGTATTTCTGGAACGCCATGTTCTTAATGACAGGAGGCAGCTGATGATGATCACCTATCATGATCCAACGTTTCAAACGACTAAAACCATCTTCAGGATTCTGGGGAAAGTAATTAGAATATTTAATATTTTTGGGGGTATGCGGGTCATTAGGATGTCCCTACCACTGGATAAATAATTTGATCAAAAGTGAGCAAGCTTTGGTCCATAGATTTATTACAGTAAACATAAAAATAAACAGAATGTGGCTTGCTACTTACTTGTAATAGGAGAGGGATGAAGGTCTCAATTTCAAGAATCTGAGCAGCCTCTTCCATCAGAATGTTGTCATACTTGAAACCCACTTCAACAAGATCTCGCCTCTTGAGGGCAGCATGCGTACATGTCATAGCTATGATCTTTGCCTCTTTGATGAGCAGATACTTTGACCTGTCCAAGCCGCTTCGTAGCAGCTCAAAAGCCCGGTATTCCTGAAAGATTGGATATTATTGCGAGTTTGATTCACAAAATATAGATGGGTAACTCTAAAACTATTATTAGAGTGATGCTATCATTTAAAATTTTGCATTACCTCAAGCTGTTGGAAAATCTTCTTAATATGCCTGTAGCAACCCTAAAAGATGGAAGACAATAAAAATATTCCATTAAGTTACATATATGAGGCATGTCTATTATTTTCTCAATGAGCAATTTCAATAAAGATGACTATCAAGAAGCAAGTTCATTAGAGAATTTCTTTTATACAAATACAAATTTTAGATTAATGATTTTAAAATTCATTATTACTGCATATACTTAGGAGTAGCTAATACATTTATTATAACACACAAATGAAATAAAATAAATAAATAAGAAGCTCAATTCCCATAGAGTAGACAGTAAGTAAGGCATTGTAGAGAAATTTTAGTTTTAAAATTTATCTTTGTGGTGAAAACTATGTTGAGATGAAATTCCATACTTTCTTTGGTTTAGAATATTAACATAGTGGCATACTAACTTCTGCAATATCCATATCTTCACTGTAGGTGTTTCCCTTAAACACAGGTTGAGGGGCATTTGCAAAATACTTGTGAAATGGAAAATACTGTTGTATCGCACTACATTCTCCAGGCTTGCTACGTATCTGGCTTAGGAACTTTTCCCAACGAGCAACAACCTAATAACCAAGCATAATGTATTGGTTATCACTATATTGCAACCAACATGTAAATGAAGCTTATGCATTAGATAACTACCAGTTGCCAAATGGAATACTCACTGGTAAATTTGCACAGATTAAACTTGCACGGAATTTGAGTTAAACAAAAATTTACCTGGTAGAGAAAGAAATGTCCAGCCGTTTCACATGTGTAGGCTACATCTCCAGGCACTGACAGACTCTCCTGCAACCGTTCAACTTCCTGAAGTAGTTCCAACCTTTGTCCTAGTACATAATTCACACGTCCATACCTACATAATATAATAATATTATAGTAATAGTATAAGGTCTTCATAAAAATATTTATTTGAATAATTGAAAGCTAAATTAAGAGACCCATGTTTTCTTGTGATAGACATGTAGATATATATAAAGGCAACATCAAAACCATTTCTAAAATTTTATTAAATTCTCATACTATTTCCATACTTACAGAAAAAAGACATTCATCACTAAAGAGAGAGACTAACAAGTGAAAGGTTGACTCTGAAAACAGCCAATCACAAGAATGGACAACTCATGATGTTTACATTTTTAACATGTATTAAGATTGTGAGCATAAATGCTGGCTCAGACAAAGCTGTCGTATAAACATGTGGGACTTATGAATTAAACTAATGGCAAGATAATCTGACCAATTTTATATCAAGAATTGTAGTCGGGTTTAAAATACCTGCTGAAGTCTTTCTCGGTCTCTAACCCTTCCTCGCCGTGACCGAGTCGAAGCAAATGTCGCTCATCGATATCCAGTGCCATGATTTTCTCGAACAGCTGGTTCAATGCCTGATTAGAATGGGTTACAATCAGAGTACGCTGATCCGGAAAGTTATGATATATATTGGAGATAATCTGGACAGCAACATCAGTTTTACCTGTTCCTGGTGGTCCAACAACCTATCAAAAAAAGGAATTTTATAATAAAAGAATGTAATAAAAAGGAGAACATGAACCTGATTAAGTTATAAACCATTTATAACTAATCAATATTTTTTATGAATGGACAAAAACCAGCTCAACTTACCATAGTTAGGCCAGGTTGCATTCCGGCTCTGATTGCTTCAGTCTGTGTTGGTGTAAATGGAATTGAGTTCCTGTAGTAAAAATAAAATACCTCATGTAAACCGTATAAAGCATATTATCACTGTAGAGGTTTCCATAATCAGAAACTGTGCTATCAGCTAAGCATGAGTACAAACTTACTTCTTAGGTTGATTGTAAGGATACGGTCCACGGTTCAGAATAACATGAGGCTCCACTTTAATTCTCTTATCTTCTTTCTCTTCCTTCTTTTTTTCTTCATCTCTTTTCCTTTTCTTACTAATATTCTTAATTGGAAATGTCAACCTTTGAATACAGACGGTAAAATTGATTTTAAATATCGTTCAAAATAAAAAAAATTATTAATTAAAAATATGTGAAAGAAGGTAATACACAGACACATTCACCTGCCCAAAACATTAAACCTCACTTTGGTTACTGTCATTAATGGCTTAACATTTTGTCTTTCAATACTAAAATTTCCAGTGAGAGTAGCCTTTTATTGGCATTTTCAATAACCCTACATTTTTTCTATATTCAATACAATTATTTCTAGGAAAGCTAACAAACTATTCATCATAATATAAGGACTCCAAACTTAACTAAGACCTTAGTAATGGACACACCCCAACCTAACTGAACTGTGCATAATGGGGTATAGACATTCTGGTACTAATGGCTCGCATGTCATGTATTACGTTCTATCTTTCAAAGTGATGTAAAACCACCTGCATGCAAATGACCTACTTGAATGGAGGACTGCCACTTGGATCAGTAGAGTTGATTTCATTGTCTGGAAAGCTAGCCTTCACATGATCCAGATTCAAAAATGTGTCATTCCAATCTAATGTTGCAACTTGGTTAGGGAGTCTGAAGATTGAGAACAGTTAAAAATAAGTATTTAAAATGTATTTACTTAGAATATTAATACTAAATCTAAGTTTAAAATTCAGGTAGGTTGCAGGTATTTTTGGTATCATGCAGGTAGATTACCTTGAATAATGAGCAGCTCCTGGATCACCATAGCCTAAGATGATGTCATGCAGCCAATCAGGAACAACCCAGTCTGTGTTCATTAGGTCACGGATGGTCTCTAACACAGCCTGCAACAAACACAAATGCACTTAGACATCATCGGATGATCTACCACATTACATTTGAGTGTAACATACATAAATCTAAATGTGAACAGAAGTATAATTACCTTGAAATTGTTTTCTTTGGGTTTTCTTCTCATCATGATGTTAAATGATTCATAGATATCTGCTGCCCCACTCGCTGTGGCAGCCATGTCCTTCTGATATTGGTTGGCATCCAGCCAAACACGCCACGTCCTACAAGCACCATGCAGCTCTGGTTTAGGCTCTGGTCCTGTAAATTATTCAACAACACAAAAGCTAATGTTAACCCTCTAGATACCGTCTTCGACTGTAGTCGAAATTGACCTCAAACCGAGAATTCCCATTTTCGACTTGAAGAACTCACATGTGCTTATATAAAAATGTTTAGAAATATCAATTTGAAATCATTATTAATTTCGAAAATTTTCCGAAATGGCCGCACAAGATGTGTACACAGCTGAGGAAGCAATTGACCTGATTTTTGATTCAGACAGCGACCTGGACAAAATTGTACTAGTTCTTATTTCAAAAGTGTATAGATCTGTCTCTTATACACATCTAGATGTGTATAAGAGACAGGCTTATATTTATGGATGGTTGGGTAAATAAATTATATAACTGTGTGGAATAGGAATGTTTTATATTTGTTTTTATTTTTTTTTTGGCTATAATTTATGTTTTTTTTTGGTTTTTGCTGACGATTTATATGTAGCATTTTTCTGTCATTTCTATTATATTATATATATTATATTATATTATGAAAAAAAAAATCCTAAAAATATAAATTATACATCAAATGAAAGCTTATTCTATAAGCTTTCTTTGTTTTTAGAAACATTTTTCTGTATAATTTACAGAAAGTTCCCAAAAATCCACCAGAACAATGTATACTCAAAAAATGCAAAAAACCTAGTTACACTGCAAAAGAATCCGGTATTCAAGGGTTTGCACTACAAAAGAATCCGGTATCCAGAGGGAATGAAAAGTCATTAAAAAAAATCATTACTCTCTACATTACATCGGCAATAGGATTAACCAATTAAAAATACAATTATTTACCATCTTCAATGACTTTTCCATCATTATCCAGCATGCCCTCTATCTCACACCCTCTTACTGATACCAAGCCAACATTTTCAACAAAATTTTCCTTGAAGTCAAAGCGAGTACCAATCTTCTTGGTTGGCCACACTGTGATCAAGAACGCTACATCATGCTTCCGTAAACCTTCAATAAAAATTGGAAAACAACATCATACATGCAATTTCATGAAATAATAATACATCATTACATCACATAAACTATTATCATCAGTATTATAGCATTCATCATTCTCAACATGACAATCGCATTCATCATTCAGAATAGACCGATTTGGTGATATTTATTTCAATTTATTAATTATTCTAGTGTACTCTTGCATTGTAAGTTTTGAAATTTAAGTGATCCTTCGTAAACCTTAACTGGCCTTAAAATCATATCGTAGTTCGCGGGTCGAAGACTCTCGTGCATACCTAACCAGGCCGTAGATATGCAGGGGCCTAGGCCTAACAAAATCTCAATGTTTGGCGCGAGCATCCTTTAGAACATTAGCAAACCATTAAGGCAAAATTTTCAAGTTCACTTTCTTATAAATTTGGTATAGTTTACTGGCAATTATGATGATCTTTACAGCAATAACAAGAGACGGCCGTCATAGCAATCTCCATGTAAACCCTGCTGTGTCAGTCCATTGTTTACATCCAACACCCAAGTTAGGTCATGTGATGCCCATCACCGAATCGGTTCATTACTCTTGCTTTTCTCACTTCCCAATTCACACACACTGCAGTATCTCTGTTGTTGACCCTATTTTCTGGAACATTTTACCACCAGTATAACTCTTAATAATCATATATCTTCAAGTAATATTGCTCATTACTTTAATTATATTATTATTGATATTTAGTCTTGTAAACAGTAGTATATCTGTCTGCCATTTATGCTTTGGTTATGCCAACTATAATTGATTGTTTGAAAGTGAACAAAATGTGAAGTATGTACAATATTCATCCCTTCTGACAATCAAAAGAATATATTAAACACAATAATTTACTGGTTAGGATATAAATCAGCCTTTTATCAACACATTTTGCAAAACCAATAATTTTAATATAAAAATGTAATGACTAGATATTGAATTTGTACCTTCCCATTCTGCCTTGATATTGCTTCGGAGGTTAAGGGTCAACGTAACATCAGCCTTTACTTGTGAAGGGTGGTTTTCACCAATGTTTGGTTTTGAAACCTACAAAAATAATTACACTAATTAGATTTCAATTATCTGTTTTGAATGACAATCATAATTAGAAATTTATTATTAGTGTGAATTTAATGTTAAAATTAGCTGGGCGACTGGGTATATCAACGTACATTGATTGCTACATAGCTAGTAACTAATAAAAATACCTCAAAATATTAGTTTAAAGAATAGCAAGACTTAATATATGCTCACATTTACATTATATGATAAAATAAAATATGTATAACACTTTAAATTATAACACTTTTCTTACCTCTACAACTGAAAATGCTGAAATTGGCTGTGTGCAAATTGAAAAATGGAAATGAGAGATTAACTAATCAAAACTCACTTGTGTATTTTGATATTTACAGTAGATACTTTGCTAATATATGTGATGCTATCAAATCTTTCCAAACCACCACAGAAATTGAAAAAAAAAATGTTCTGCTTAAAAACTTAAAATCCCAAATTTACTTAAAAATACATATGAACATTAGCACTGTAACTGTTAACATAATTTAGTAACTTGATTTGAAATCTAAATTATCATCAATACATAAGCTTACAACTTAAAATATACCACAATTAAAAAGTTTCAGGAAAAATATCTTAACTATATTTAAAAACATGTAATTGATTTCATGCAAATCCCTTCTGCCTTTAAAAAATATTCCTGGATCACTGCCTACCTGAGCCATCCTTGCCCAACCCCCAAAGTATGCGCTTCCATCTTCTGCCTGCCATGGTTTCATACGATATAAAGCATCTTCGATGTCTTGCCTGATCTCGTCTACAGTAAAGTAAAAATGTAATAAACCTCAGCCCAAGCCAAGACACAGAATTTCAGACTTAGATTTATATTAATATAATTAGCCATATTCTGAAATATAATTAGATTTGAATTACTTTTTCACATTTATGTTGGTTGTACTTACATGTGGACTCGAGTCGGAAGAGATTTAGATTGCGCAGTAAGTAGTCGTGCAATGTTAAAAACTGTAGATTCAATTTTGGCAGTGCCAAGCAACCTAAAAAAAGATTTTATCATTATATTAAAAAAGTATATATAAAACATACAAAATAAACACAACTAAAAATTAAATCAACATGTGAAAAGTTTTTGTTAGATGATATGGCAGATGCGCATGTTAAAGAACCAGGTGGCCTCAAGTTGAATAATGCCTTCAGAATTCAATTATATTCTGTGATTTTCATGCCAAAGAAATCAAATCTATGTAATGTGCTATGATTCTGCATGCAATTTTATTGAACCATCTGAAAAATTTTATATTAAAAATGCAAACTTTTAAATTATGCTTATTTTGCTACAGATTTTTTAAAATTTTAAACTTTGAATGTTTTATATTTAAAAAAACTTTTATACTGTAAGTGTTTTTTGTGAAGGGCCTACTAACACTCGACAGTGATTAAGTTTACTTTTGGGATGTCCTGTCTCATATTTTTTTGTGCTTCCTCCTTGCTGTTTCTTTTAGTTTAAATTAGAATGTTTTGAGACAAATAACTGAAATGAGAAGATAATTCTATCTTAAATCCTGCCAATCATGTTGCGATGTGTCATTTAAAATAGCAAGTCTCTTGTCATTTATAGTGTTTATATTTTTACTATTAGTTAATACAGATGTTTGCAATAGCTTATAGTTGAATGAGTTTGGATGAGCTTTTACCTTCTCCTGAGAAGTACTCAGTAGGAACAACATTCTCATCCCAGAGAATTTCTTCTGTTGGATACAGTGGGGTTTCGTTGAGGGCTTGAATCTGGGATGGGCGCTTTTCATGTCGTGAAACCTGCAATTATTAGAAATAGTATAAATTATAATACTTTTATAGTGCAATGGCATCCACTACAATTGGCACTCATAGCACTACATTATTAATCATTGGATACATAAACAGCCATGTGTTCAGTGTAACCAATTACAAGTAGTGCAACTAACTCGGAAACGATTTAAAGAATACCGATTTATACTCCTGGGTAGACATATTTAAATTTCCCTGGACAAGGATAACAATAATTATGATGATAGTTATGATATATTAAAATAATAATGGTCATTTAAGTAGCACCTTTTTCTCACACTTGTATCATGCACAAGAGTACCTACTAGAGATAAGATAATCAAACCAGAAAAACACATACAGTTCAGTGTCAAAATACATTTTTTTCCCTTAAACCCAATTTAAAATTTTCACATTATCATAGTACAGTATCATAATATAAACTAAATTTTTCTTTTCTCATTTCACCGATCCATTATACAGTGAGAGCTGATTTACGTCCCCGTCTTCCACTCCGGATAGTTCTTTGAGCTTACAAAATTTGCAGCAAAGCGTTTAAATAATTGCTTCAGCTAGGACTGCAACACGGTAGTCTGCTGGTGGCATACCTTTACCAACTGCCAATTTTAAACAATATTTAAACATACGAGAGAAGATTATACACCTGTCTCTTATACACATCTAGATGTGTATAAGAGACAGCTTTTTAATGATTTTATAATAGTTTCTGCATGAAAAATGCCTGAAATCATAAACTTTGAAGGCTGACTTCTCATATATTGTTCTTTAAACAGCAGTATGCTTAAATGCTTGTAACTTCATAAGGAAATGTCAGATTTGAATGATTTTTTACCATTTTATAGCTTATATTTTACTCTTTAACCTTGTATTAATAACTCAAGATCGAATTTTGCGATGAGTGACTGGTTTGGCTTGTCTTTGCCACATATGAACTAAGAAAAATACTTTGAAATGTAACGGGAGGATCTTACCTTATAATTTCAAAATGCTTAGTGAGTGATTTCCGTCTGTCCACATTGCCAATATTTGAAAGAGCAAACTGTTTGAGCTCTGGAATGAGTTTGTAGACTGTTCTTTGGAGGATACTCATTCGGTCATAGTGTCTCTCGGTCATCTGGTGGTCAGTCAGAGCACTACCAGTTGAATCGTTTATCTCAAAACCAGCATAGAATTTCAGCATATCTAAAAGCTGTGTTTTGAAAGTAAAATTAAAAGAAGTGATAAGTGAAATATACATGATAATCATGTACAACATAATAATTATTAATTTTGTGTTAACTTCTAGTTTTTTCCCCATTTGTCATTACTCATGTTTTGCACTCTAGGCCATAGTGATATTATAATAATATATAATGAATCATGCCAACAAGCTCTATATGTTCTACACAATATTTTCCGGTCCCTGGGAGTAATTCAATAAAAGTGCAGCGTGTAATCAGTACATTCGTCTTCAAAACTTTGTGTAAACAAATGGAAACCGATTTGGAGGAAATTAATACCTAAGGCTTCCTACTACATGTAGGCAAACTGTATTCTACTGCCAAGTTCAGTGGACACAAAATGTTTTTTATACTACCATTTCAGCCGACCAAGCTATGCTGTTCTTACCTCTGTAAAAAGTTTTCCATCAGCACGCTTTGATAATGCAGACATCATGCAACGAACAACAACTTGACAATCATCCATTACAACGTTGAAGAAGCGTCTAGTTGGAAGTTGAGCCTTCAATAAAGAATATAAAATTAACAGCATCAAAAACAAGAACAATAAAAATAACAATTGAAAACTGAAAAATGTAAGTATATCAAACCATATTTAAATTTGAAATAAAAAATTAAATAAAATACCTCCAAGTCCACTAACAGTTCAATGAAACGTTCACAGTATCGCAGTTTGTCATTTGAAACTTTACCTAAAAATAGTAAGTAAACACATAGCATTTAGGACACTTGGCTAAGGAGAAACTTTCCAATACCTTGTTTAGCGAACCCGCCATCCGCCACCCGCCAATAATGATGATTTCGAATAAAAACATAATTTTATTTTTGGACAATTAATGCACCTGCCGTGAAACAAGGTATAAAAAAGTGTCTTGTCTAACCTAGTGTAGTCTCAGCAAACAGCATATTACTGTGCAAAGCTAAACTCAGTTAGTTAACCTAGGATAGTTAGAGCAATCAGAATACCTCAGTAAGTAAATGGCAATGAACATAAAATAATACAAAGAATGCACTACATAAACAAATTCTCTGTATAAGGCTTGGCAAGAGTAGTTGTTTTGGTGACATATAAACTTGTCACAGAACAGGACTAGAACCCAGGACCCTGGGATTTGAAACTACAACTACACTGGAGTATGCAATGTGACCTTTTAGGGTTACTAGATGTTGGGAGGAATCTGGCATTGATTAACATACCTTCTTCTGGTATAGAGTCTAATACTTTGTAAAACCGCTTGATAAGGGAAGCCAAGAAATGCCTCTCAAAATGATTCCTACAAAAGTAAATTGGAAAATTATATGAAATATGATATTGTTTAATCTCAAGACATTTATCTACTAATACACAAACACAAAAACTCAGCTTTAAAACACACTGCTAGGGATTCAGCTGACAAACAGAATCTAGTGCTCTTGGTTCTCACCTTTTTCTTGTTTCTTCATCTGCCTTTCCATCATTCTTCTTAACGACATTCCAGAATTTTCGATATCGTTTATCTTTCTTCAATTCTTGTTCAAGACGAGTCTATAAGTTAGACAATAATACCATACATAACCAGCCTCCCAAACAATTCAAGCAACAATTAAAGGAAATTTTCAGACCAACACATAGCATATACAACCTTAGCTTGCTTGTATTATACTGACAATAATGGAGGAAAGAACTGGAAAACATGAGAACTGCAAAACAATTCTTACCTCAAGGAGGGAAGCCCACATGGGAAGTGACACTAATCGCTGCACTTGTTCACGTATCAAATCAACACCCTGAAAATAAAGCAACAAAACAATTATAAAATCATACTCAATAAAAAAAAAAAAAACAATACAATGTCTTATTTTTTTCTTACCAAACTGTTGAAGCAATAATATTAACGATATTAGATCCAATCCAATTAAGTAATTACAATAATATGGCAAATATACTGCATCAACATATTCCTGTCTCTTATACACATCTTATTGAGATTGTATTGTACTTTGATAACAATAAAATTATTTTTACATTAAATACATAGTTTTTACCACCTTAATGGACGGCATCTTGGAATTTATCATGATGACGTCATCATTCCGATCAAATTTTTTAATGAGAGTGATGAGTAAACTATATCACCAAGTTTTTGATACATTTCATATCCACAGTATATGTAAAAGTGACCAAAAACATAAAGTTATTTCCCCTACCCCCATTTTAAATAGTTTAAAATAGGTTATTTTAGGCCAAAATTGCAAAGTGCTGTAAAAAAAATTGCCCAAGCCCTAGGCATGGGGATTTTTTTTCTGTGACACTATAGGGTATGTTGATTCAGAAAAACCAAAAATTAATTTTCCTTTACTTTTTTCCCGCTAAAATTCATTTCAGCAGTTTTACAACCAGGCTAAACTAGCTATTTAATAAGCTAAAATAAGATTTATGAATAATTCATGACATTTACAACAAAAGCAATAAGTATGGCAATTAAAACACAATTACGGTTGATCCAAATAAAAATAAAACATACTTGCCAAGCAGGGACACCTTCTCTGAACTTCTCATTAATCAAGATGGCCACCGATAGAATATAAGCTTTGGAAGCCTGGAAATGAAATATAATATTGTTGATAATCACCAACTATCATCCAACCAAATATAGTAAAATTATCCATTTTCTATTGTTAGTTTATTTCTTACCTTTAATGGGTTATAATTTGGCCAAAGGAAGTTCTCTAAATACTGGCTGAACTCCAGCAACATAACTCGACGAATAGCAAATCTGAATAATTTAAGATTGTTCGAGAAATCATTAAAAAGGTGGAACACAATGACATCAAGTAGTGTTGGAGCAATCATAACAATAAGTTACATAAAAAATGTCATTTTGCACCAATAAAATAATCACTATTTTATCTAATGTACATTTACTGATTTTACAAGGCCATTTTATAACCTTTTAATCAATATTTTAACATTTCTTCATAATGTTAGTACAATTTACTAGATCTTACTTCAATACTAGTTTTTATCAGTCTGTATTTTCTGTGCTTTGTATAATTTTCATTTACAGTAATTCTGTGTATTGTGAAAAATCAAATTCCAGTTTCTAAACTAGAAAATAAATTTATCTTGTATCTTTCACAAAGCTGTAAATTGCTATTAAGAATTTTGTAATTGTGTTTTATTCAATTAAATTAATAAACTTGAACAGATTCTTAGAATATAGAAGTACTTACTTTGTCTTGACAAGTTCATTTTTATAAACATCTTCAACAACCTAAAATGTTTTTATAAATATAGTTAGAACAGTACTGATCCAAATATTTAGAGTAGGGTCAAAAAGTCTGCATGAAAATTATATTTATTTGAAACACTCAATGAGGGTAAATATTTCACCAAACTCCAATCACTCTTGTTGAACAAGAGTATATAT